ATATATATGTTAGCATGACATATAACATGAATTTTGTTTCAATTTTAATTTCAGTTCTTGCTTTCGTTTTTGTTAACGTCAATAACTTTGCTTTTGATTAATCAACTGTTCCATGCAGCTAAGCTAACACTGTTGCATCATCACCGTTTGCAATTTTGCCCCCTCTAGGATTTAATAATCCCCTTACATGACATGACATTATCATATATATATATATATATATATATATATATGTTAGCATGACATATAACATGAATTTTGTTTCAATTTTAATTTCAGTTCTTGCTTTCGTTTTTGTTAACGTCAATAACTTTGCTTTTGATTAATCAACTGTTCCATGCAGCTAAGCTAACACTGTTGCATCATCACCGTTTGCAATTTTGCCCCCTCTAGGATTTAATAATCCCCTTACATGACATGACATTATTACATATTTAAAGGTCAGGGCTTAAGTAAACTTGGCCAACCATCTTTCGAGTAATACTTAGGGCTAAAACTATTTCCAGCATACTCACGTTAGTTTTTTTTTTTTTTTTTTTTAAAGCAACTCACCCCGGGTTCATAGAAAGACCTATAGCAACGCACTTAACAACAAAAATGCTTTTGGTCGGCAATCTCCGGCGAGTGACGTCATTTACAGAATGCCGAGTCGCCAGTCAGCCACTGTAATGCATTGTTAATTGTTCCGTTAACTGCTCTTTGCCATCAGTATCAAGTTATTCGGCAAAATCCCTTGGCGCTCTAGAGCGATGCGCTGTTCACATTCAGGCAAACAGTCGTTTGCGTGGCAAAAGTAGAGAATAGGGCACGTCAATGGACCAGAAAATTGGAACGTTACCGTTTCGCTCTCCCAAAGTGGATAAATTTTACGCAAGCATCGACGAGCATTCTTTGTTAAAAGCACTTAGAAGACCTTTATTTTCTCAACCGGATTTGCATAAAAGGTAGGTGCGCGAATCAATGAATAACTCTGGCTGTTTATGACAACATTTGATTCAAAGTATTATACATGTACATGGTTGTAATCCTGTACGAAAACATTCAAACTATATGAGTGCATGAATGGAATCCTCTGTAACTCACAATGCTGCCGATATAATGTGCGGAATCGCCAACAACGCAACAGAACTACCTTAGCAGTGACAATGTAAGACACCGACCCACTATGACTTGTGCTCTCAGTGCTAGCGGGAATACCTGGACCAAGTAGGTAATCCCATCGTGAGCAATTTACAGCACGGGATAGCATTGAATTTCAAACAATAACGCTAGGCTAATAACCACAGCCTATATAGTATACCGTTCTTCCACTCCCAATGGGTCTCTTCTCCACTCCATGTCTGGCCGTTCAGGCACAACATTTTCCGCATCCTGAGCATCTGGCTCGTACATGTAAGGTCCAATACAGTAAATATTCCCATCCCCGGAATTCTATGAAAAGGAATTTCCTTCACCCGGAATAAAAACCTATGCATTAACATTTTGACTACGATATTACATTTTACCGGAACTTACGTAAGCGGAAATTCCACTATCCGTAACCCGGATGGAGACGGAAGGCCGCAGGAGCTTAAATACATGCAGCTCCCACCCGATGCAACGGAAGACGCGACGGAAGACACATGTTCACTTCGCCGTTTCTATTATCGGATTCGAAACGATGACGTGTAAGTGACTTTTTATTGGCGTGCATTTTACTGTAATTGCGAACGATTTTAACTTTATTTACTTACGTCCTGTAGACCGTGGCACTAGCTTAAAAAGCAACGCCCACTCGACACAACTGGAGACACGATGGAAGAAACGTGTTCGAGTCGCCGTTTCCTATCATCGGATTCGAAACGACGACGTGTAAGTGACTTTTTATTGGCGTGCGTTTTACTGTAATTGCGAACGATTTTAACTATTTACTCACGTCCTGTAGATCGCGGCACGAGCTTAAAGAGCAACGCCCACTCGACACAACTGGAGACATGATGGAAGAAACATGTTCGCTTCTCCGTTTTCTATCATCAGATTCGAAACGACGACGTGTAAGTGACTTTTTGTTGGTGTGCGTTTTATTGTAATTGCGAAAGATTTTAACTTTATTCACTTACATCCTGTAGATTATGGCATCGAAAACGAAGAAGAACCGAACAAAACAAAACAACCCAGAATAGACTCATTTTTTCCCAAGACGGAAAAAAAATCAACATTAAAATACTGTACGTACTGTACTGTGTTGTGTTTTTTTTTTTAATACTCTACATCTGTACTGTATACTGTACTGCTGTTTTTGTTATATAAACAGTTTTTGGACAGTATATTTTTGCTTGTGTTGTTACGCATGCATTTTTTCAACATACTTGCAGGTTCATAAAAGACATGTACCATGCTCATTTCCTAAATAAGGAATTTCTGTTATAAGGACAGATTGGACAGCGCAAACATGAGTCCGTACTAGAGAATGTTTACTGTATCCATTTTGCCCCCCCCCCCACCGCACCCTCCAACTCTTCAAACACCTGTATCCCCTCAGATAACTTTGAAATGTTGCTTTCCGAATCCATTTCTAACTGGCTTTGTACTCTTTCCATAGGGAGCCCCGCTATTGTTGCCTTAAAGTGACGTCACACTTCCGGGTTTGACGCCTGTCAGGATTTCACTTGGGGAAAACTATTCGTCAAATTTGTCAATAACAGAAACTATTTTTTTCATGCTTTAATGTGTTCAATTAAATTGTGATACAAACATATTTCGTTTGGGATTTTCTAAAACTACGGTTTGCGTGTGTGTAAATGTGTATGTGTGTGTGTGTGTGTGTGTGTGTGTGTGTGTGTGTACGCGCGCGGACGTACCGTTTTAATGGGGCTATCTTCTTGGAGCATGATGGCATTTTGCAGATTGGACTATCAGTACAGCACGTAGTGCAGTGCATTTTTTTCCTCTTTTATTGGGAAGCCTGCTGTAGCATGGATACAAACGGAGGGTCTGCTCTCATGGAGCCGAGCAGCACAACAAGGGTGTGGTGGCTCAGATTCCTCCGGAGAAACATTTCAGCAACCTTTGAAACTGCTCCACACTCGAACACTAGTCTCAACTACATTTGATAGCAACCAGACAATTCATCGCAATACAAAAATGAAACACACTCCCGTTAAATACTAAGGTCAACAAACTGACGCCTTTTAAAAGTCCAAACTTGAACTTCACAATTAGATGACGTCATCAACCCCCAGGCACACCGTGCTTGTTTCAGTGATAGCTTGCCCGGTTCAAGGTTCCAAAGAAATCAGTTTCAACACCAAATGTTATCCTCGTGGTAAGCCGCCACCCAGAAACCTCGAAATACATTTGGGATGGACATGGAGAAAAGTTCGGCACAAGTAACATCATGTTTCAACAAGTCAGTGAGCTGTTGCAAGAAAGATAGCTAAGTGGCTAGCTAGCTAAATGAGCAGTGGTGGTTTCAGGTCAAAGTCACATTGTTGCCTCGGGAAGCCAGTGACGCTATTGACCTGTTAAATTTTGGGGTTGTTCGCCTACCTCGGCCGAAGAAGACTTTCAAATATTGAGAACCTCCGAACCTCCTTCCCAAACTGGCAGAAGTGAAGTGAAGCAGCTGGGAAGGAATCAGACTCATTCCCTCCCAGACTGCTGCGTTCACTTCCCTCGTAAATCCTACTTAATTATAACCTGGTATGTTCTTTCGGTAGAAAACACCTTAGGTGGTTGGCCTCTAAGTTCCCTTTTCCTGGCTTTTATATCGCGTTTATTGATTAAAGTGGAATTCTGGAAACAACGTGGCACAGATAGATGACATGTTCGAGTGCTATATTGGGTCCTCAAATATTTGGACAAATCGAATTCTCTGAATGCAACTTGGTGACGAGCACAACGCCTCCACGCTATTGGCCCGTGTGATTTAACTCTTCCAATTCCCACACCCCTCTGCGGTTCGAGGTGATGTCAATTATTTGGCTTTAATTTGGTTAATATTTAAATGTTTGGCTTTGAATTGGTTGAGCTTAACAGCTATCAGTGTTTTTATGCCACTAAAAGCAGGTCAAATATTTGACATATCCTCTCGTGGTGTCAGTTGTATTGCACTATTCGAATGTAGGTCCCCCGGTGCGCAACTGGTTAGCACGTCGGCCTCACAGTGCAGAGGTGCAGGGTTCGAATCTGGCTCCGGCCTTCCTTTGTGGAGTTTGCAAGGTTACTCGCCGTACCTGCGTGGGTTTTCTCCCGGTCCTCCGGTTTCCTCCCACATTCCAAAAACATGTGTGGCAGCTTAATGGAGCATTCTAAATTCTCCCTAGGTGTGAGCGAAGTAGTTGTTTGTTATGCGTGCCCTGCGATTGGCTGGCAACCAGTTGAGGATCAGTGAATTCGAAAATGGATGGACATTATTTTTTTCTCAGTTGTACACGAAAGACACAATGGACTATGCCCACGCACCATTTTCGCATTTGTGCTACGGAGGTACGCTAATTTCCGGTCGCTCGTAAGGCATAGATATAGTATTGTAATATCTGTTAAGTGTGTGTGTAAGAGTGTGTGTGTGGGGTGTTGGGGGGGGGGACTTGAGAGGGGATGAGCCATGAGGGGAAGATGGGCTCGAAAAGCAGTCTGGGTGAGCAGCACAGCGGGGACGGAGCGCCTGACACGAGAAGTAACATGAATGTAAGTACACAGCGCTACCTACTGGTAGTGGTTTGTGTTTGCAACAAGGTGAACGCAGGCCTTTCTATGTTCCACAATTCTCAGTGAGGCAGGAAAACACCTCATGCACATTAACTAGTACAGTAGTTCTACAATAAATTGTAATCAAACGACACACGCCCATTCATCTTCATATGGTCAACAGACTTCCAGTGCAGAGAATTATTTTTCACATGTGTATGATACGGCGCTTGTACATCATTGCAACTACGTATAGAAAGGGTCCAATATAGAAGTGGGAGTCGGAAGTGAGTATAAATGGTACACTAACTCATGTTAGTTATAACCATGCCACCAATGTTTTTGGAATGTGGAAGGAAACCAAAGGACCCGGGGGAAAACCACACAGGCACAGGCAGAACATGCAAACTCCACACAGGAAGACTGGAGCCAAAATCGAACCCTGCACCTCTGCACTGTGAGGCCGACACGCTAACCAGTTGGCCATCTGCCCACCCAGACTAACACCCACACCACAATAATTACCCAAGTTCATGGCCACAAAATATTGGGCTGTAACAGTACAACATTAAACAAAGGCAACGTCATCTAAGTCATACTCTGATATCCAGCTTGGAGTCAACAATGCACACTTGAAGTTGAAGAATAAGTAGTGTATTCTCAGTAGACTGAAAACAATACTGGACTGGATAAAAAGAAGTGATCAGATTCAGAGGACTGCATGAAAAAAAAAAAGAAATGCTGATGTGGTAATTGCTTCCTTACCTACCTACCTACCTACCTACCTACCTACCTACCTACCTACCTACCTACCTACCAACCATGAAACGGCCTGAATGGCATTGAACATAAACGTTCTACCAGTTGTAATTGCAGGTCTCACCAGAAGAGGGTCCTCATATACAAGGTGACGTTTTCCACCGCCACGAAACATCATGATTTATTTCACTTCAGAATGTGTTTTATGAGAACTCATTTAAAAATAGTTGACATCCTATGAAGTACTGATAAGTATTGTTCATGCTTCTTTGCTTCTCCGGAGGATACTTAGGAGGTTTTTAACCTGGATCTAAACCAAATAAAAAGACTCATATTTCTTTATAAGTTGACATTTATGGCCGTCATCATTTCCAGCCTCCTACTCGTGCTCGTGCTCGGTGCTGATTTTTCTCCGAAACGGTGCACAAAACGTAGGTTGTTGGATTTCTCCTCTCCTAAGTGGCTTTCGTCTTGACTCCCCCTGGTGTCTACTTCTTCAGTAAGTCAGCTGAGTTAAACACACTCCTGGGAACTAGAAAAGATCGTGTGAGAAGTCCCCTGCTGCCTCCTATGAAATACTTCCAGAATACTGTTGCCACTGGCCTGCATAGATGATCATTCTTCATGTGTGGGTGTCGCCACTGGGGAAATTGAGGAGATTTGGAGAAAAACAAGCGTGGTAGGTGGGGAAGGAGAGATGAGACGGATGAATGAACGAAGGCAGTGTGGCCCCACTGGCAAATGGACTGACTGGATTTCAGTGGCCTCCCCCTGCACACTGATGCTTCAAATTGACACACAAATCCAAATAGGCAAAATGGCCTGGACTGATCGGACAATTTAACCCTCTGTGATGCTGGATGAAGACATTTTTCTTTGTCATACCTTGTCCACAAGGACTTGTACAAACAATAGCCTCAGCGGTGTCTTGCTTCACAAAATCAGCCCATCCTGCCAAAATGGGAAGAATTTGGTGCCCCTGTGATACATGAAGCGAAAGGCGCGCATCCCTGCTTGCGTTCCCGTCCCTTCTCGAAGCCACTTTCATTTACAGTACATTGAGCCCAAGTGAGGCAGCATATTAGGCAGAGATTATACAAATAAGTTTCCATGCAAGAAGACTAAAAGCCTTTCAACCTCTGAAGGCAGTGCGCGACAGTATCGCCCTATATCTCTCTCCACATTGTCGCTCTAAGATGAATGATAGCAGAATATAAATCTTACAAATGCCTCTCCAGAAACGTGTGTCCTGAAGTTCCAAACAGAACGTTTTTTTTGTCCGATGCCATCCCGATAAGAGCTAAAGCTCTTTATGAGATTTAGAGAAGGAGAGCGAGCTGGAGAGACGGAGAGGGAGGAAGGCAGGGGGGAAACTGAGAGTGGGAGAGGATTAAAAATATAGAAGGAGCAACAGATCTTGCTATCCATGAATCAGTACTCCGGAGCAACTAAATCCCAAATTTCTGCTGGTGTTGTTTTCCCCTACAAGATCCTGCCTTGCTGCTGACAGCCTGTCGTCGAAGAGCGAACGCGACAGCCAGTGATACAGTGGATAGCATCACGTCAAAAGTAGCAGTGTTCACATATAAAAAGTCGACACACCCCAGTCAGCACACACCTGACATAATTTCATGTGCCTTTCATAGAGATCAGCTGTTATAGAAGACCTTTCCTGACCTTTTTTTTTTTTTCGCCTTCAGCAGTCGTGTGAAGGTTTTGTGCTAACACAGACTGGTATTTGGGACTGCTTACATTTTCCTCCATTTGACGAAGACCCCAGTTGCAGGCTCAAGAAATACTTCTCCAAAGCGTGATGGCATCAGCATGCTCCACTTCAGGTATGGTGTTCTTTTGGTGATGAGCGATGTTGTGTTTGCGCCAAACATACCTTTTCCCGTAATGAGCAAAAAGGTTCAACATTGATTTTATTGGCTCATATTGACTTTTCCACACGTGCTTGGAAGAAATCAAATGTGGTTGTTTTTCTTGGTAGGATAACACACTTCCATCATGCTACCTACCAAACATATGACGAACATGGGAGGTTATTAAAACAGCCAGTAAATGCCGGAAATTCCTGCAGCTCTTTTAAAGTCGGTGTCAGCCTCAAGAGAGCCTCCTGACCAGTCTTCCCCTCGTCTTGTCATCAATTTTGGTGCGCTATCCAGTTCTGGCGAATGTCTTTGTTGCAGCATATTTTCTCCTCTTGATGATGACTGTCTTCACTGTATCCCATGTGATATTGAATGCTTTGGAAATTCTTTTGTGACCTTCTCCTGACTAAAACCTTTGAAAAATGACACCCCGGCTGCTGTGGAAGATTGCTCTGGACTATTGCTGGTGCTGTAAGATGCGAGTACAAAAATATCAAGGAAAACCTATTATAGAACTTCTGAACTTTATTTTGGGTTCATCAGAGTCACTTTAAATCGTGTGGCAGGTGGCCATTTAACATGAGTTTGAATGCGATTGGTTAAATTTGAGCACATTCAAGCTATAAGAGGGTATGAACACTTGTGCAACTACATTATCTCACTTGTTTATCTTTATGTCCAGCCCTCTAACAATTCTCTTTTTTTTTTTCAATAAGGTTTCACAGGATATAGGTCACATTAATGGTGGGAAAGGTTTTGCAATGATTTATCTTGGTCTCATCACTACCATTTAAACAGGGCCATGTAGACTTTTTATGTCCACTGCATAAAGTCAGTCATTTGCTTTATTGGCCCCTAATAAAATTCCTTGGATGTCAGAGTCAGAGATGTTTTTTTTTCCTCCCACCAAGCAGGGATGGTGCTACTTTGGGATCATGGGTTGAAATCTCGTCGTCAGAAATCGGTGTAGCCCCACTTAAGCCACTCCATTTAATTTGATATTCCAAAATATATTTCTGAATGATTTTCTCAGCTCCCCATGTATTGGTCAAGTGAGAGAAAAAAAATTCCAGTGCCAAGTGGGAATGCATGACAAAACCGTACCGGCATCTTCACCATGCACCACTACTGAATGTTTTAAAAAGTCATGGCAACAAGTCTTACTGCGGCCTCTCTCTTTGCACTCGCTCCCAGCTTTCCAGCTGGTGTACATATCACCCTGCACGTATAGGATAACTGACTCCCTTCACACACAGACATCTGATAAGTTCGAGCATCATTACTTTTTTCCCCAATTAGGACAGCAGGTGACTCAGCCAATAAATGCTCACTTGAGCATTTCCTGATCTGCCAC